CCCTCTCTGCTCTTGTTTTCTTCCGTCGGGTGGAAACTAATTTCCGGGCACGTTCAACTTCCAAGGTCTGAAATTGCAGTCTGCGTTTGGTGCCGATCGGGTGGTTGTCGTCGAAAACGGAGCCAGTGCATGCCAAAACTGATTTTCTTAATAAGTGAGTCTAATAAAATCAGTTTTTCAGTGTTCAGCTGCAAGTTTCTGTCCCGAGCAGCGATGCAATCAAACTCTTCCAGGTTCATTACAATACAAAACTATTTTTCTGTGCCAAGGCTGCAAGCAGTTAAGTGGGTTTTGCTCAAGCTTTGTAGCGAATCTGTACTTGGACAGGAATCGGACAACGGAGAATTGAGCCCAAAAGGTGGGAACCTGATGAATGTTGCAAAGAATTTCAAGCTCCTTTTAAGAGGGACGCGTGCATCGCTCGGCCCTGCCCGCGACACAGCTGCTGCCTCTTTTTATCCCTCCTGCTCAACGCTCCTGATTTACAGCCGCCGTTTCGACCTCGGACCGAATCCGGGCCCGATTTCCTCGGGGGCTCTTCGGTGGCACCCACTCGCCGTTAACGAATGCGTAAGACCGGCTTCAGCTTTGTAATCAATGAACATAAATTATCTCCGGAGAGCTCATCTTCGAGCTGAGTCTCTCGTCCTTGTTAGCTGTAATTAGAGCTGCCGTTTTTTGCTCGTCATCAGCCCTCGCCCTAAGGACAGCGCAAGAAAGCGCCTTTTTCCCCAGGCTGGTGCCTTTTGGGCGACGGTCCGGCTGCCAGGCTGCGAAGCCTGGCAGGCTTCGCGAACCCCTTTCGGATGCCGTGAATGAATGCAATTTCCCTAACCCTTTGCTCGTGTAATCCTAGCCCTGCTCTGCTTGTTTTCCCAGGGTGAGCCAAGTCAGATCCCTCTGGTTTTCCCTGGCTACGGGGCCGACTGCCTTCCTGATTTAGGAGGGACAAACAATCCCGTCCTCCTGCTCCGAGACACGGAGGAGAGGCCCGTACGTGACACTGAGTTAAATCGGTTTGTTTTGTTTTTTTCTTTCCCCTCTGCCTTTCCAAAGCGTGACGCCAAGCAAACGGCACATGCGGCCCAAGCAGTTTTCCACCTGCGGCGAGAATAAAGCGCCCGCCTCCCCTCCGGTGTGCTGGCGCCGGGGAGCCCTTTTGCTGTCGAAACGGGTTTTCGTTTGCCGACGAGCATAGCGGCGCTGCTTGGGGACCGACCCGCCTCTTCGCCGTGGGGATTTACCCGCCCAGGGTGGTTGGTGCTTATTTTGGGGTTTTTTGCTCCGAACCCCATGGCTGGGGGTGAGCGGAGGAGAGGGTGGACGACAGATTAAGCTCTCCCGTGGTTCAGAAAGTCAAGGAGCAGCGGGGACGTAAAGTTGGCTTTCAATATCAAGGACGTCGCCCAAAGGTGTCTCTCAGTCCTGGCCCAGCCACCGCTGCTTCATGCGGACCTGGGCATCTTTTCGGGCCGATTTGATGAAATCACGCAAGACAACAGAGGACTTTCTGAGCACGTCTTGTTTTTGGCGACGGTAAGGAATCGCTGCTCGACCCCAGGCTCGGGGCACCATCTCCCTTTTACGTGGTCCCTGGCTAAACTTTTACTCCCTTCCCATCATCTCCTGCCCTTTGCGGGCAGTGCCCGTTCCCTGGCGCTTTAATGGGACAAAGCGCCACGAATAAAAGTATCAATTAGAAAATAAAGCAGGGCTTTCCAGTAACTGGTAATTCCACTAAAGGCTCATTAAACTGGGGACAAAGAGTAAAGTTTGGCAGCTTTCCCTCTCTCCAGATATCGCTCCTTCCGAGACCTCGCTCAACTTCTTTGTTGCGAGCTGCTGGCTCCGGCTCGGCACGCGGGCTGCTTCCTTGGCGGCGCGGGACGTGGCCGAGGCACGGCGCGACGTGGCAGCGTTTACCCGGGGGTAAAAGGGCCGACAGACCTTTGCGATGATTTTGCATGCCGCCGGGAGGAGAAGGCGAAGCGGCGATTCGCACTTCCCTCCTCCCCGTGCCGGAGTCGCTGCATTTCCTTCTCCCAGCAGGATTCATGGGCGTCTCTTGCATACTTTTCCTCCAAACAGTCCGGGAAGGTTTGGGGAAGTTTCATGCGATAATCTTGGATTAGATTTCTTTTGCAAATGCAGCCAGTCCTGCTCTTCTTACCCTGCTAGCCCTGGAGGAAAGGGGAGGTTAAAACAATAGTAATTTAAAAATCTCCACTCCAATCTGTAAGCGTTTTTGTTAAATGCTTCGCTCCCCCGGTGGGAAAAAGGCTGGTGAGCTTCAGGGTGCTCGAGACGCCGATACGCGGGGTGTGAGCGGAGGCGAAGGGGGGCTGCGTCCCAGGCCGCCGGGCAGCTTGCTCCTCCTTTGCCCATGCCTCGCGCCCCGTGTGGCGTTTGTCCCAAAGCGTCGTTTTTTTTGCCGTGATTTCTTGCTCAATTTGCGATACGGTTCTTTATATAAAAGGCTTCTTTAATGTCAGCAGGTACCTTCTGGGGTCGCATCCTGAGGCTTCGCTTCCCTCCACGCGCAGCTACCGGAAAGGGCCTGAACCGTAAGTAACTTTGATTGGCATTTTCTCTTCTCTTTCATCGGGGTTACGGGTTAAAGCTCAGGCCGGGAATTTGAGATTCGGCTGTGCTGCGTTATGTAAAGAAGCGTCCAGCGGCGAGCCGGCTAGAATCGAAAAGCCGGCGTCCTGCCAAATCGATTATGTGCCGCCGAGGAGCCCGGTTGAAAAGCATGCCGTTTAATTAATCCTCGTTGATTATGCACGAAGGTAGACCTCATCACTTACAGGTGTGATTAACTCCCCGGCGGTAAGGGGATGGCCATGGCTCCGCCAAGCCTGATGCTCTTGGCCGAGGCGAGAGGCTTGCTGAGTCTTCTTCCAAACCCGGCGTCTGTTGTTTGCCGCCACTCCGCTGGCGCTTGCCTCGCTCTCCCTTTTAATAGTACGTCGGCTGGCCCGTGGAGTTGGAAATGTTAAAAACGCTCCCGCTGAGCGTCGTCGCCTCGGTGTAAAAATAGATCGGCTGCGCTGAGTGCCTGAATAAATCAGGAGAAGGGCTGACCCGATAGCGTCTTAACGGCGTGCAGACGGCTGGGCACGAAGCGTTCGGAGCCTTCCTGCCCTACGGCTCCCCAGTTCCCGGGCTCACCGAGTTAGCGGTTGAAGGTTGGGCTATGCTGGTGTGCATCGAAAAACCCTGCCCTTGAAATCGTCTGTAATTACAGCAGTGCCGGAGTAACTCGGACGAGCTGCCGTGTCCGGGTAGGTTTGTCGGATGTCCCTCCTGCTGCACTCCCGTTGCGTTTTAACCCCGCGGCCGTTTCGCCTCGATCCGCTTCCCCTGCTTGTCGTACTAGCCCGGCAGGAGGAAGAGGAAGGAGTTTCGCCTCCGGGATGAAACTCGGCTCCCTTACTGAAGGCTGGCACGGTGCCCGAGGTTCACCGGGCGCAGTTTGGTGCTCGGCGATGACCTCTCTCTGCGCAATGGGAACATATGTAAATATATATATATACACACACATATACACACAAACACACACACACACACACACACACACACACATATATACAAATATATATATATATATTGTGAGCTGGCGGCTGCTGGCTTTGCTGTGCATCTTCCCTCACTGCGGATTTAGCCCTTCATCGATGGCAATGGAGGCGGGCTGCTTTCAACATATCCCAGGGAATTTCTCCTGCGCTTTGGGGGTCAGCGCGTCCCGTATACGCGTTTGCGTGCAGTTGAGTTGTTGCTTTGCTGCAACTCCCTGCCTGCATAAGGGTGTTTTCTCCTGGTGTGGGGAGCGGGGCGTTGTGGCCGCGTCTCACC